GTTCTGATGTGCACATTATCCTCAAATCGCGCAAGCATACCCCGAGACGAGCAATAAAATAAATTCCTTCGAATGTTTGTTCGCAACTCGTTCCGCAAACGTCTCGCAACTCTGAGGCGAGAATTGCTTTTCCCGCTCTCTTGTCTTCTCAAAAGAGAAGTAGGGAGAACGATCGCGCGAAATCGAAAAAATGAAAACTATGAAAAATCGTATCATATGGCGTGGGGGGATAAAAATCTTCCCTCACAATTCTTTATTCTTCTCAAGAGTAATGGTCATTCTGACACGTTTCTGCTCTGACACGTCTCGCCGACGGGGGATCCCCGTAATATTACGGACGCGTCGAAGGCTCGGGCACGTTCCTGGTCTTCCGAGCGCGCCGAGGATATCCGTCCACGTGCTGCATATCCAGAGCATATCCCCTACGTTCGTTCTTCTCTCCACCTTCATTCCTCTCGCTGTCTCGCGAGAGCTAAATGACCCACATACGTCGAATTATGGTCCCGCGAGTTCCGCGAGAATCGGAATCCACGGATTTCCGCCGTGTCGATAAGAAGACGGACGTTCCGTTACCTCGTCCATCTAATCCGACTTACCACGCTTGAGGTGCCGGTCCGATAAACGGTCTTCAGATAAGAAAAGCCTACTTTGTATAGCGAGTCGCCTAACTCCGCGTGAAAATGTTGAGATTCCGAGAGACTCGAATCTCGATAAATCGATAATTAGAACGAATAGAATGTATATATTTATTTATAATAGGGCAATAACTTCTTATCATATAAGAATATACACACACGAAATTAAATAAAAAGACAAATTTTGTGAAATATCTGATCTTTAATCATGGAACGCTATCGATATTGAACGATATATAGTATTACTATTAATAAATTTTAGAAGGAAATAGGTCACTCTCTTAATTAATGTAACACAATATTTATAATATAGATCTATATAAAACAAATAACCTAATTATTAATTTAAAAGGAAAAAAGAATAAGCATTCCATTAAATTTAATCTTGAAATAATATAAAGCATGTAATCTCTCCAAGTATGTATCTCCTCCATTTAAATAAAATATGTAATAACACAAATTACTTAAAAATTGAAATCACTTGCCATGTTCTCTGTTACAATACTGATTACCAGGAAGTTCAAACTGATATGTAATGGACAGGATTTTTAAAAGCTAGCTTGTTCCAGCTTTTAGTATAGCAGATTGGACCTCCTAATGGCCACTAAAGGCATAACACTCAACAATCTCGCTCACTTGTACATAAAATTTATGTATCGATAGCGTTTGAGGGTTAAAATCGTTGATGAACTTTTCTCTTTTCTTTTTCTATTTCTAACACATAGAGAAAAATATTTACTTTAATAGATTTTAATATTCTGCGAATTATTATCATAAAAATGAATAAATAGACAAAAAGAAAATCCAATATATGATTACAATAACAACCTGTTATTTTAAGATTACAAATTCATCGCTAAACAATTTTCTATAGGTGCATTTTAAATGACCCACGTTTTGCAGAGTAATTACAACGCGTACCGAGACGCAAGGTGATCATTATCGGTTACGTGATCCGTTATGCACCGCGGGCTTGAAAGTGCAACGTGGCGCAATCGATATCACTTAGCAAGCGGTGGGTTCTTTTACGGTCTCTCGTGCAGAGGAATCCGCACGGATGATGCGGAAAAACTTTCCTGAAAGATTGGGCGAAGTGGCGTCAAACGCAGCCAGTCGATTAGGCTTCCCTCGGGAGTCGTCTTTCGACGATCGATCGTTCCCGGATTCGTCGACCAGGAGGTGATTGTCGTAGCAGGCACATGGAGAACGATGCGATTCGCTGTGTCGTAGGATTAGTACGTTTTCCCGCAACGATGTGAGTTCCCTTGTTTGAACTAGTATTCTGATACTCGTGTCTATAATGTAAAACGCCGCCATCGTCGCATCTTGTGAAATTCACAGTACCCGCTTACTGTCTCTTATTTACAGACTCCTGCGACGAAACGCACGCCGTCGTTCTTGCTTATGGCTTCGTCTTATTGTGCGAGCCCAACGGTGCGCAATCGTCGCAAGCTAGATGTAAACTCGCGCGTTCGCTTAAGGGCCTCAGCATAAAGATGATAACTGAGTCGTGAAACGTGAGTCGTAGTCGTAAGTCAACGCACAATGTTTTGGTCAATCTATAACTACTACTTACGTTTCACGACTTAGTTACAACAATCTTTGTGCTGAGGCCTTAAGCCATAACCGCACTAGATTGCACGATTGTGATCAATGATTGACAATTACTTTTCAATCAATCAGAGCATAACAATCACTGATTGCTTTGCTCTAATTGATTGAAAAATAATCGTCAGTCATCAATCACAATCTTTTTTTTTCATAATCAAAAACAATTATTTATTTATAATTAATTATTACACATAATTATTTACTTAAAATTATTAATAATTATAATTATTTTGAAAAGTCAAACATTTTAAAATCCTATTTTTTATATAAGAAATATTAGTCTAAACAATAGAAATGGTTAATATCGATGCAAAAAACTGCTCTCTGTATATTTCTAATAATAATTGCTTTGTATTAAATAAATTTTTAGCAAATATTACGATAAAATAATGTTGCTATAATGAATACTATTCGGTTATATATTGTCTTTCGATCATCTCATGTAATTTTTTGTTCATATTGTAGTAAGTTGAGTTATAAATCTTATTTTTTTTTTAATAATGAAACTTTAAAGCGATGTTAATCGCATGAATATGTGAAATATCCTTCTGCACACGTAATGTCCTGTCACGATTGAGAGGGCACCACTGTGCAGGCAGGTATAATGATCCTTCGAATATAATGCCTCTGGCTTGAAGGACACTAAACTGAATCGACCATGAAACGTGATACACAGAAAGTTAATCCCAACCCAAGTACATTAGCTTAGAGTTTCCACAAAAAATAGTCAAATTCACGTGATACCTTAGTATTAAATTTTTAATTTTTATATAATTCGATTCTCTTTTAATTTTATATGAATTAAAAGAAAAACAAATACATAGATTTTTAGAAAAGTGTAAGAAAAAAATATTTAGAAAATTGCAGAATTTTACGATATACTTGATCATCTTTATAACATTGAATTTAGAAGAAATTTGTTTATGTTTTATACTTGTACACGTATGTATGATAAAAACAGTTACGTTAGATAATTTATTATCGGTCGAACTGCCAAATAAATATTCCACTGTGAAGATGATAAAAACAAGTAAATATTTTCATATAAGCCAAATCCAACAATCAAGAAATCATCAGTATAACAACGGGTCTCCCTAGACCCCGAAACCCGAGAGGACGAATCGGAACAGCGTACAAATTCGAGCTCTCCATCCCCTCGTCCGCCCCTCCCCTGGTGTACATGTGCGTCGAGAGGATGGGACCGCCCGTTCCCCTCACGCTGTATCCCTTTTGCCCTCCCGTGGGTTTTGTGTCCGGCACCCTTGTGAAAGGAGTCCGCCACACGCACCCGAAGAAAGAAGAGGAGTCGGTCGAACTGAGAATAGGGGCGCGGAGAGGGGATCGCCAACGCAATGGCACATGGTGGGGTGGTCTCTTGTAGGGTAGGGTGAGTCGTGACGGTCTTGGTGGGAGCCAGCGACCGAGCTCGAAGCGACGGACGATCGTACGGAGCAACAGTGTGCCGCGCGCGGCCATGAAGCGACGGTCGTTTTCACAACAAGAGAGATAATAAGGGAGAGAGTAAAGTGTTTGTGTGACACGATAGGCAACAATAAAGTCGAGAATCTAGAGCGATCTAGAAAAGTTTCAATCGCAAACCGACTTGAGTCGCGGGTGAAGTTTCGGAGCACTTCGACGGATTTTGCAACACCATCGTTGATTGGAGTAACACAGTGAAATAAACAAGCAGCATCTTATCGGTCAATGTTTCTCGTGTTAAACCTAGTAAGTGAGAACTTGGCAGAGTCTTCGTCACCTCGCCCGGAATTAGGGCAAATATTTCGCGCGGCGAAAAGAAACGGGAAGTGCTGAGGAGGTTTCGATACGTTGCAGGAAGTGAACGTGAAAATTGAGTGAAAGGGGGAAATAGTGCGGTGGTACATTGGCGAGAAACAGCGGAAGAGGAGTCTCGTTTGCCGCCGGTCGAGTGCGAAAATTCGTGATCGTAAGTGAACGGATCTCACCGACGAGACTCGAGGTTGCGTTCAACGCGCTTGCCGATATCCCAAGCTGGAAAATTCGACCTGGTAGCTCGCCTCGATTAGATTTTCCACGTCTCGCCGTGGTAAAAGAAAGAAGTTCTCTTTCCGGTCCGCTCCAGACAATCCGGCGAATTTCGCCAATTTCGTTGCGGACGTGAGAAATCGACTCGGTTGTGAGTAAACTCGTTCGAGATCATCCACCTTCGGACGGATCTTTCAAATTCTCTCGGAGCAAGTAGAAAGATACGACAACAAGGTGGATTGCAAGATCCGTGTGATGAAAACTGACGAGTGAAAACCACATTCGACGTGCCTTCGACGATTACGTTGCTCATCTCAGGATAAAAGAAAACGGAGTCGAAGTGCTTTGCGAGTGCGTCGTCATCTCGAGTGCGTTTGACTTGGAGAGTTCTGTCGCGAGTGGTAACCGCATGATTTCTACCCCGTCTTTCCGTGGCAAGCGAGAAAGTGCTCGACGCTTTACCGCCGGTCGGAGTTTACTGACCTCAGCAGCACGGAGTTGGCGACTGCCCTTCGCGACGACGAAGGGAGGCGACTAGACGGCCCTTTGTGCCGACTTTAAGAGCGTCTCGCAACACTGCAAACAGGGCGGAATTACCTTTCTCGGAGTTGCATATGGCTGCCGCATGCGGCTTTCTAGGTTTCGCTCTATCGTTTGCGGAGACTCAGCATCAGCTACATCATCTTCGTACCGCACGTCTTCGTACTGCATCATCAACTTTGCGAAGCGATTTCACGTGTGAGGATCGACGAGTGAAGTGTCGTGCGATTTTTTTTCGCGATCTGTGTCCTTAGTGTTATCAGCAAAGTAGTTTGTGTGACAACGAAGGAGGGGGTTGCAACGACTTGCAACTCTATCACGCCGTTCGCGGAAAGGTATTTCGCGCGAGCGGAATCAAGTGCAAGGAAAATCGTCCGCGGCAGAGATGCGCTCGTAGCGAATCGACAACTTCGTTACTGCAGTCGGAGCCGGATTTCGAAGGTAAGCGGCGCACGTTTACCATATCGTCGTCGTCATCGTCATTGTTGCTCGGTATCTTGGAGATAACGAAGATAATACCGGCTTATTTCGAAAGTGAAACATATCGGACTTTGATAAGGATCAGTTTGTATTCTTGTCGATAAATAGGGAATCCCTACGAAAGAAAATGGAGCAGGTAGTTGACTCGAGAATACGACTCGACAAAAATAAAAAGTATACAAAAGAATACGACTCGTAAAAAAATGGAAGATGTTTGACATCTTTGGTGTTGACTGTGAATAATATTGGGGGAAAAAAAGCGTGAAATTGCCTGAAAATTTTAAGAATGTATAACGTAAAAAATGCAGGGTTAATGCACAAAAAAGTAATCGCTGTACTTATAAAAGACATAAATTTTTAACAGCGATGTAACGAAGAATTTTTTAATTCTAGTTAGAATAATAATGAGAATGAAAGAGAATGAGATTACATGTTTAACACGGTACAGTGCCGGCCAGTCTCCATTCAAACAAAATGCGAACTGAAACTTTCGAAAGGCCAGTAACTGCAATTCTCGGGATAAAGGTATCTGGAAACGAACGTTCGTAATTGGTACAGATTCGTTTTCATTGAGGACATGTGGTTTTGGATTGAGAGAGTTTTTTGTTTTAATGAAAAGCGATAAAAAACAAGGAATTAAAAATATCCTTTCGCGAGTGCGAATAACGCGTGCATCACGTGGCGAGTTTCGGAGCGTGAAGAACGCGCACCGTTTTTTCGGGTCCTCCCTCGACCGACCATCGTTACTGTGTTCCTTTTTCGCGCAACCCAGCGCAAAGAGGATTACCTCGAATCCGCTCCTAAAAGCATCTCGACGAGCGACGATTTTCATCGCGAGGGGCCTCACCTCGCGCGGATGAGTGACCCATTCCGCGTGGATTATCGCACGATCGATCGCGGATTTGCGACATTTCCTGCTGCGAGATCCTTCTAGACTAACGACCTTTTCTTTATCGATAATCGTAATAATTTAGATTGAAAATACGTCTCCAGAATCCAAAATATCCATTAGAATGACATATTGCTCAGAGAAGAATTAACGCTATTAATGAAAGTAATAATCATGCATAGAATGAGAAGATTTTACATCTACAAATTTAGCTAGATACAAATATAAAATAATTTCGCTGGATCATCAAAATAATTATGTAGGACACTGAAGTTGGTAGAATGTCAAAACTTTTTGCAACGTTGCTCATTAATTAAACTTTAGCGTCCTATATAATGTTTCTGATAGTTCAACAAAATTGTTTTCAGATCTGTAGCTACTTAAAGTTTTAGATACTTTAGCTAAATCGTTCTTTCCGAGTGGATTTAATTTCAAAACTTTTAATTCTTTAATACAATATAATATATGGAATTTGTTAATATTATGATTTATTATCTTCGGATTTCTTATCACGATTTAATTAATTTAAATAGCAATTTGATCAGATACTATATTTATACTGCAAAAAGTTTTTACATTCTAGCAACCATTTTGAGCGTCCTACATAATTATTTTGGTAGTCCAATCAAATTATTTTCAAATCTATATCTAGCTAAAATTTTTAATGCTTCGATAAAACCCATTCTTCCCATGTACTAGTGAAAATTAATGTTTAAGGAAAAAAAAAGTGCTTTTGAGATATGCTCTCGGTTTATTCGACATTGCGGACTTGATAAAAATCGTAGATTTTAGTTGGCTGTTTCGGGAAGGTGTGCTTTCCCGAGGGAAAACCCGGGACAGGCGATAAAATTTTACTACCGCTCGAGCTGCTGGGAACATCAGTGAACTGAGGTTTTAACGCATCGTGGTCGCGACTTTCGCATGTACTTGCACTTTTCATCGACCGCGCGTCTTGGAGCATCTTGCAGCGGAAGCATCTCAACGATCGGGCGGAATTCAGAATCGGGAGTGTCTCGCCGTTATGGAAAATTCAATAAAGTTGCAGGAACCTTATCGTGAATTCACGTGAGGTACACGTTACAATTTCACCGAGAACCTGTCGTTTTTGCGAGCCACGTGTTACATCATGCACATTACCCATCTCGTACAACGAGGTCCGATTCTGTTCCCTTTCGCTAATTCCACGAGAGTGCATTCTCCGTCATAGAAATTTTTCTCATCGACTTCGTGAAGGGTACCCATGCCACGTTCCGCCTTCAACCGATTCCAATCGCCCGACTTCTTGTTATTTTCTTGAGTGCATTTGAGCGACAAGGATTTTTCCTCGACGATGAGTTCAGCCATCTCACCATAGCGTTTCCGAAAATGGTGAAAATTTCACGTTACGCTCGACTTGTGCTGCGCAACTTGCGTTTCTTGTTTTTCAAGCACATCGAGTGACAGGATCTTTGTTGTGAATTAGTTCCACTTCAATTCTCTATCCCGAAAGAGAATACCATACTTTAAAGATACCTGCGTTCTCTGTCGATTGACATTACGGTTTTATTATTTTTTAACTACTTTGATAATTTTTTCATCACAAGATTCACACTGAGAGAAATGATTTGGTTGAAAACGGACAAACCAGAATATTCGGACTAAATCAATCAGAATTCCGGTTATCTCAATTAGAATTTTAGTAGATTTAACCAGACAATTTTCCGGTTAAATTTTTAATTTCTAGTTTAATTTTTTTCAGTGCAGTTTCTTACAAAGTGGCACGAAATATTATTGTCAAATCATTTGCTTTATATATCACATTTATTTTTAACAAAATTGGTATAAAACTAGTATAGAATTAATTATCAAAGCCTGAAAAATTGGATAACGTATCGAATACATGAATAATTAAATAATACGATATTTTGTATGCCACCGCGTATTTATTATATATATATATATATAATATA